TCCTAAAATTCAATAAAAAGAGTAAAAAAGACAGCACAAATTTTACTTTTATTTTTATAGAATAATTTTCAAACTAAAATTAAACATTCAAATATTTTAGTCTTATACGTCACATATTTGCATATCCCAAAATTATCTTTATTAAACAAGAATTAATGACCTCAACATGTACATCAGATATTAAAACTTGGCGTAACAAATATTCTCCGCAATCAAATTTAATCATTTTTATACGGGAAATGAAGCTACGGAACTGATACCGCACATGTTACCTCTATTTCGTGCCATATAAAAAATACCCATTATCTCCCCAACCGGTACCCCAACTGAAAAAAACTTCAGTTACTTCTGTCATTAGTTTAAAGCAATAAGTTGATATTTAATTTAAAGGAACATTTTAAAGAATCTGCAACAAAATGTCTCACCCTTTATCGACATTTCAATAGTTGAATCGAGACAAACCTGTTTTTAACAATCCAGTAATCCCCATAGGTTTGATGAGTTCCATAACCAACAACCAGTACTGCATGGTCAATTTCACCCCAATTTGGATCATAATAGACACCTAAAACAAAAAATGCTAGAGGAATAGAAATACAGAACACGATCATGGAAATTGTTAGGTCGTCATATGAGCGGAATTACAAGCTTTACAGAATTACAAGAATTACAAGCATAGTAGCTTAATTATGGAGTGCCAAAAAAAAAACAGTTTCATTCGGTAGTCGAAGTCTATGCATTATGCTGAATTCTTCATCGGCCTTAAATTGTATTAGCCAATTTCCAACAAAAGAATCAAAATTGTGCCAAGCGTATTATTTCAAAAGACTTTAATTACACGCTTTATCAAAATACATCACATATTGGGGTCCCATTGAATTTCACTTACCAAATTAGCCAGTCATACAGAGCAATTCTAAAAGAAACTAGGCCTTCATAATATTCTTTATTTATCTTTTCCGTAATTAATTCATTGCTTTCAAATATTGACTCCTTAAAAAAATAAACTTGATAAAAAATTGATTATAATCTACCATTTTTGTAAAATCTGAAAGAGCGCTTCGATGCGCTAATTGCAACAACAACAGGTCCTTGTTCGGCTACAGCATGCTTGAGTGCTAATTCGTCACCTGGCTCTATTTCACTAAAGCCATTATCTTTAACAATAGCTATATTTGTTCGCGATTTGCATCTCTGTTCAATTCCAACATATGGATATGTCCATTCTGATGCAATTCCTACTTTCGTTGCATAATAAAACGCCTAAAAATCATTTAAAATGCATAAAATGGCGTCAAGTCCATAAAAAGTGGTCAAAAAATGACCGCAAGAAAACGATTAAAAAATGATCGAAAGAAAATGATTAAAAAATAGACCGGAACCATGTAGCCTCCATCACAACCGAAATTACCAAACTCCTGTGTACAGTCAACAATATTTTGTGGTGATAAATTAAGAAGTTTTCCTGTCCTCATCTTATAAAAAGCTTCCAAAGCACCAGCTGCACTAAATGCATAGCAACTGCCACACTGTCCCTGCAATATTATATATCTTTACATATCACTACTCATTTATTGATTTCACCAATTCACATCGAATAAATTGACCCATTCATTAAAGAAAATGATTCAAATGCAAATTAAAATTCAATTTCAAAAATTCAATAGAACAAATTATAATGCGGTAACTTTATTGCACTCCATGAATCTCAGTGAATACACTTACAATTGATGCGACTGTGATTATGATTCGTTTGAATTCTAAATATCCGATTTTTTCCAGTTATGAAAAATCAATTGATGGAGCGCCTTATAAAAATTCTCGATCAATGAATAACTTGGAGTTAATTTAGCTAATCAACAACTTAAAGCTAATTTTGAAGCTAATTAAATAATTCAGTATAAAATTAAGAAGAAGAATTAAATCATACTTGATTTCTGACAGGTGTAACAACACCATTTTCTCTCCAATCAACTGAATATGGTAATCGTTTATAACGATTGTACTGATAATAACGAATCTGACGAGTTTGCCTTCTTCCATTGATAGTTTTATTGGGTTGTCGAAATCCATTCATTCTGCTGAATTCTTCATCGGTCTTAAATTGTATTGACTAATTTCCAACAAAACAAACAAAATTATGCCAAGCGTATTGTTTCGAAAGATTTTAGTTACATGCTTTAACAAAATACATCACATATTGGGATCTTATTGAATTTTACTTACCAAATCAGCCAAGTCATTCAGGCCAGTTTTAAAAGAAATTAGGCCTTCATCATACTTTTTATTTATCTTTTCCGTCAATAATTTGTTACTTTCAAATATTGCCATCCTCAATTTTGTTTCATTTGGATCGTAATGCTTTCCTATAAATGACAAAAATTTTTACGCAATTATTTGATTATTTTAAATGAAAATTTTAATTTTAAACAAGAAATTGTACCGAGATTGGTTGCGTATTTTTCCATTCAAATTCTAATTTTTCCATCACTTGCTGCTCACCATTGTCTTCCATTTTTTCAGGAATTCTTGCACAACATTTGATTCCCTGTTAAAGTTACAGTATATTTTGAATGGAATCTATCTGTAGGAGTTTATAACAAAATACTGAAAACAATTAAGTTACAGTATATTTTGAATGGAATCTATCTGTAGGAGTTTATAACAAAATACTGAAAACAATTCATCGTTTTATATTTAAAAAAAAAAGGAAAAATCAATTGAAATAATTTAAATTTAAATAGAGGCATCTCCTCTTAAATATCCATAAACCTTTTTAATAACCATTAAGGATCAGGCCGACTATCAATAGCAGTCTGCTTCCAAATTTATAAGATACCAAGGGGAAAGTAGTCCACGAATTAAAGTATTCCTTCCTGTCGTTTAATTAAATTAATTAAATATTCAAATTTTATACTTTCCATACTTACATAGACTGAAGTTTCCCATGCATGGCTATTTCGGCACTAATAAAAAAGTGTGGAAAAAGAAAAATACAAACAAAAACAAAGCTATTCCTAAATTATATTATCATACGCTTCAGATGCTTTTTCCGATCGATGCAAATCAAATATGACAGTATGAATCAAATGATACTCAATGAAGTACTGTTGAACTCACCCTTCTGATCCTGAAAATACGGTAATTCGTCAATTTCTAAGTTTATCTTTTGTATAATAAATTCGGATAAAAAGTGTTTTTAATTAATAACAATTCCATACATTGCAAAATTTGAAATTTGAAGTAAAATAAAAAACAAAAAAAAGGAACCATCGCCGTATTCTTTCAATGCATTTTTAAAGTCGGACGAAAGTTTTGTCATATTTCCCTGCTTGTAATCTTTATCAAACTTTGCTATAACTTCTTTCAGCTGTTGCATTTCGCTGAAAATAGTTTTGTTCGCAGTATATTTAAGCAGTAATTTTTTGTGTTATAATTTAAATTAATCCCGAACTATCGGTTCTTTTGATGATCTCTTAATGTCATCATACATGCAGGTAGTGCCACTTGCATTTTATGCATGCATTTTGTTTGTGGAATGTGCAAAACTATGTGAAATGTATGGATGTGTTTTAGTTGCTTTTTTAAGAATAAATAATAACAAATTCCGCAAATTATATTTCTCAATATTATAAGCCAAAGTAAGAAATGGCCAAATTTTAGCCAAAATAACTGTAGCATCCGAGAAAAATTGTCCAATTTCATAAGAAATTGTTATCATTAGCAATGGATAAAGGAAGCTACTGAAAATTCACCTGCTAAGTGCGATAACAAAATCGGCCAAGAAGGTAAATACCGCCAGTGATGCAATTGTCCGTAGCATCACGTCGTTTGCGTTTTTCCGAATACTGCAGGACCGTTATTCGTTCTCCTTAAATGGTGACAGAAGTTTGTTGATACAGCTTAATCGTTAACCAAATACAATGCTATGGTTAAGGATATTTTGAATGAAATTTTCTTCGAAGGAATGAATTTCCAAAAAGAAAAAAAAAAAAATAGCATATGAATTGGGTGAGAATATCCTCTGCAAAAGCAAAGCACTACTATAAACAATGTTATCCATTTAGCTGTTCTCAAAATTTAGTTGGTATACGATAGAATCATTTATCCATTGAATTAAGAAAATTTTATTATTGGCAGCTTAGAAAACAACGCAATAATAAACGAATGGCAAAATGAGTTTTTTCAGCTTACCAACTCTTCCATAAAAAGTTTAATTAGCATTTGAATTCATTTCATTGATTGTTTTTTTTTCCTTTTTTGTGAAAATTGGTATTTCTACAAAAAAGGGAAAAAAAAGTTATTTGAAATATTGAAGAACTGTACTCATGTTTAAAAAATATGGTATTTTATTACTTTATTTTGTTATCTTCAAGACAACAGCAATAGCTGCTACAATGAACCAAATTGTGATGAAATTGACCATGCAGTACTGATTGTTGGTTATGGAACTCATCAAACCTATGGGGATTACTGGATTGTTAAAAACAGGTTTGTCTCGATTCAACTATTGAAATGTCGATAGAGGGTGAGACATTTTGTTGCAGATTCTTTAAAATGTTCCTTTAAATTAAATGAATATCAACTTATTGCTTTAAACTAATGACAGAAGTAACTGAAGTTTTTTTCAGTTGGGGTACCGGTTGGGGAGATAATGGGTATTTTTATATGGCACGAAATAGAGGTAACATGTGCGGTATCAGTTCCGTAGCTTCATTTCCCGTATAAAAAATGATTAAATTTGATTGCGGAGAATATTTGTTACGCCAAGTTTTAATATCTGATGTACATGTTGAGGTCATTAATTCTTGTTTAATAAAGATAATTTTGGGATATGCAAATATGTGACGTATAAGACTAAAATATTTGAATGTTTAATTTTAGTTTGAAAATTATTCTATAAAAATAAAAGTGAAATTTGTGCTGTCTTTTTTACTCTTTTTATTGTAATTTTAGGAATGAATGAATT